GTGGACCAGCATAGGTTGAAAACTTTTCAACATCTTTTGGATTTCTTGTAAAATGTTTATAAATTTGACGAATACGGTCGAGACATTCGATCGGTTTTCCATTATCAATAGATGATATAATGTGATCGATAGGTTTATCAACCTTAGACGTTTTGATTATATATTCTAATGTCACATCACACAACAGCATCAGCTGACTGTTCAATAGTAGTCCTTCTCCTCTTCTAGGTAATACGCGACACCATTTCGGACGATCTGTGCTCAAACGACGTTCAAGCAATGATCTTTGAGTTTTCTTTTTTTTATTATCAACAAAATATTCTTCAATTAAACTTGGACTAATGTCGATGTTATTATCCATCTTTATTGTCCATACACTTGACTCATCGATTTCAACAGCAGGACGCCCTTGTATCTTAATAGTGTGAGGATTAAAAAGCTGGCATGATTCTTTATTTGCTACATTATAACTTTTATTCGTTGATAGCAAGAAAAGTTCCAAAGGCGGTGGTGGTGGTGGTGGAAGAGAGGAGGTGATTGTGCTAGATATGTCTAATAAATTTCTAGTTAATACACTGCCTGAAAGAAGAAGATGAATGAGAATTAAGGCACAGAAATTTTTTATTACTGCTTGACTGAATCTACGCTTGAATTCGGATCGCACCTCTCTATTTACACTTGAGCTTTAAGTATTTGTTATTCGTGATGCATTATCTTCCAAAAATACTGGGTTAGTCATCTCAGGATGAACTATATTGTAAGCATTTTGTAATATTCCACGTGCGCTCATGTCCGGCTCTGTGTGGAACATCTCCCAATGCATTTCGAAGGAACTACTGTCCATTTCAAAATAGAATATGTGCGATTGCAATTCGAACAACCCCGAGACGTTACTAGCTACCGATCTGCGGTTTTCACCATTGTGTAGTCAGGCACTTGAGACGTGGATGAACATAAGAAGAAATATTTTGGAGTTCTTGATAGGATTTCTAGAGAGATCTCTGGAAAACTATTTTATTACCCAGAAAGGACGGATATCGGTTTCTGCTTGAAAATGGTCCAATATGATTTTGAGTGAAAATGATTGCAAATGCCTCCTATTTTACTTCGAGATACTTCTGACTTTCAAAAATTACTCCTGATCTCCTTGAAAAAATTATTTCTTACCAGTTCGTTACTAGTTCAAGGAAGGTCATTCACTTTGTTTCTCAAATTTTTCGTACAATTCCAAAAACTTTGACCAAAGTCCATACATAGAAAGACAGAGAATTTTTCGCGCTTCAAAACGAGCTATTGACAAGCTTCTCAAACATATGCCCACATGAACAATTGTCGAAATACTAGACAGATGTCGTAATTTTCACTCACCCTAACACGTTAAAGGAATACTCCTTTGATGCTTCTACTCAAACCCGAAATGTTTTACACATAGAAGGATAGAGAATGGAAGGTCCAAAAATGGAATGGTCCGAAATGGAAGGGCTGCAAAATAAGCTATAGTACATAGTTTCAAACCTAAGGCTTAATGACAACTTTACATCGTGACAAAAGTTTAAGCTTTTTCTTTTGCTGACTTTTTTCATCAACCACGACAGCTGAAAGGATACTGGAGAATGGTTTGAGCAGCTAAAACATTTTTCTATCCGATAAGGCGTTTATAAAAATTTTCTCAAAATGTTTAAAAACCAGGATTTCGATTCTGTTGAGGTCTTATTTAAAAATAAAGATTGCCATCAGATTCAGCGTGGTCTATTACGTATGTTCTATGCAACTGTAAGACCACCTGAAGTCACCTGATACCAGTCAAGGAAATCCGACACCATACCTGAACCACTGGAAATGAAGGTCCCGCTAGACTGCTATTTAACAGAGAACACTTAGGGCTATTTTTTCATGAAAAAAAACTAATATATTGCTACGTTAAATTTCTGGGTAATGAAACAGTATTCCAAAGATCCCTCTAGAAACCCCGTCAAGAACTTCAAAATATTTCGTCTTATGTTCATCCACGTCCCAAATGCCTGGCTGCACAATGGTGAAAACCGCAGATCGGTAGCTAGTAACGTCTCGGAGTTATTCGAATCGCAATCGCACACATTCTATTTTGAAATGGACAGTAGGAATGTTCACACTGATATGGTAGAAATCACCTGGAACTCACTTTCCACTCTTTATTATAAACCCTATTTTCCCCTCGTACAAAATCTTAGTCCACGAAGAAGACAACATTCAAGCGTATTCTGCAAAACGGCCAAACGGGACTGTACGATACGGATAGCGATGTCTATTAAGAACAATTGCCAAAATCGATATCCGTTTTGTAAGCTACAAATTTTTTTAAAGAGCATGATGAACCAGATCTAGCTCCCTAAATTTAGCGGAAATAAGTTCCACTTTACATCACAGATACGCTGTTAAGCTTTATCAATATGATCGTTGATCTCTCTGATACTTTTTAGATAAAAACATGAGATATAATCCCAAAACATAGTAAAAAAACCTCTCAAATTCTAATTATCTTATGACTTACCATAAGATGGAATAGCAACAGAAGAATGTGAATTATTCTTCATTGGTATGCTATCCAAATAGCATGATATTCAATTCGATGTGTAAACCAATACAACAAAACAAAAATTTCTATTAAAAATTTTTTAAATTTTTAAGACGTTTAAAATAAAGTAGAATAGTTAAGAATCATTCTTTCAAAAATACATACACATCTTCATCAGTGAAAATAGAGAAAAGAACCCCCCCTCTTTACCTCATAACAAGCGTCTTCCTGTTCGACCGTCCATTTTCGAATATATGTAAGGACGTTATTCAACTTATCACATTTCGTCTACTATATATAATAGTTATAACTGTACACAAAGACTTTATTTAGGGAATAGGAAAAGAAAATTAACAAGGAAAATTCACTTTTAAAATGAATAGTTTGTAGCACATTTAGTAAAATCAGCGGGAGAAAAACATCAATTTCTACGGACTGAAAAAATGATCATTGTATAACATAAGACTAAAGAGAGAGAATAGTTGACACATTTCAAACTTCACACAGGTGCAATAAGTAGTAGAATATGAAAATGACGTCTTTTTCGGACTAAACAAAACAGTTAGTACGAAACTCATAAAGAAAATACAACAACTATGCATAAGAAAAAGCATTTCTCTATTTTAGTGTATCTTGTAGGATTGTACTACATAACCGACGACTCAGAATTCTTCGTTTTATTTCAATCAGTATATGATTGTGTGACAAAAATGTTTTTCGTGTTCTTTTTGATATTTCACATTTATCAGAAAAGGCCAATATAAGTTAATTGTTAAAAATCCTTGTAATAAAGAAAAAGTATTATCTACAATGATTTTTCCAGCCTTTATGCAGGTAATTTGAAGATCAATATTGAGGACTTATGTTAATAATACCTAAATAACAGTTTTTTTGAATAATAAACTTGATCGTTGCATAACCTGTTTTATTTGTTTGCCGTCTCCGAAGTTACTTTTTACTGTATTCGGCTACACTTTGTCTTTAGAGAAGTTTCACGCGATTCAGAATATATACTCATTTTGAAATATGTCATACGAGCGAACAGGATATAGAAAAAAAAGTATATGCTCATTCACAGTTACTTTTTCTTTGACTTAACAAAAACTTGACCACAATGTAAGTTTGATTTACCATCATGTTCTTTTTCAATTCAAGAAGTCCCTTCAAAAATGTAATTCTTAACCCTTTGGGTCCGGGTGACGAGAATTCTCGTCCTGATATTTTGCACTCTGAATAGCTTTCGTAAATATTACGTATTGATTATTCAATGAAATGAATGACCCAGCTTTGTCTGCTGATCTCAAA